AGAGCAAGAGGTGAATGGCCTGTATACGCCAGAGCGGCAGGCCAAATTGGATGTGGATGCGGTGAAGGAGATTGTGGAGGGGGTGAGGCGGCGATTTAGTGAGATGCGGGCGGTATGATGTTTTCTTGGTTTAATGGGTGTGTGTGTGTGTGGGGGGGGGGGGGGGGAGGGTGTTTGGAGGACAAGGGAAAGGCGACATATCTGTGTGTATAAAGTACAATCCCGTCACTTTTTTAGGGAAAGCAGAAGAAGAAAAACAATACAGAGCCATCCTCAACCCTCAACAGCGTTCAAAAACCCGATATAAACCCTTTAGATTCGCAATCTCCATGACCCCCGTCAACAACCCCTTGGTCGCCACAAGCCTCGCCCTACACGCCGGAAAAATAGTAAACTCGAGTGCGCGACAAATCTTCCTCCTCCGGGCTTCCACCTCGGGGTCATCTTGGTCGTCAGCTCTACCCTTGCCCTTTTGCGTTGGGTCAGTCTGTAAGAATGTTCTTGTTGCCGCTGCTGCTGCTGCTGGAGAGGAAGACGGCAACGGCAAACACTCCGGAACATAAAAAGCAGCAAGTTCACGCAAGATACCCTGAAAACAAGCCTTCTCCTCCCTCCAATCCACATGCGGCCCCAACCGGAGCAAGAACTGCGGCAATTTAGCCAAACAAGGCGTATACCCCTTTAGCAGCAACGGAATCGAGCCCAACTCGCCCTCTGGCGAAATCTCAATGGCAAAATACTCCCCGAGCAGCGCCGCCTTCTCAACCAACAAGCTTTCGACCGAATCCACGACATCTTGCCAATCGACCTCGTCAGCGCACCGGCGCTGCTCCTGTTCGACAGCCAGTTTGAGCAGGTCGCGCAGAGCGAGGGGCGGGTGAAAGCGAATGGAGCCAAAGTTTGCGAAATCGGATAGGCCGAGTTGGTAGAAGAATTCGTTGCAGAGGAGGCCGTAGTCGACGAGGAACAGTTTGACGCCGGCTTGGATGGCGGCGATGCGTTTTTGCTCGTCGACGATGCCGACAAAGGTGTGGGTGGAGATGATGTCGGTGAGCTCGTTGTGCATGGCGTCGCGGACTTCAGCGCGCAGTCGTTTGATCGAGGTGAGACGGCAGGGTATGGGTTCTTTTTCGGTGTGTTCGTCGTCTATTTCGACTTCTTCTTCGGCGGTGTCTTCGACGGAGTGTTGTAGCTGTAGCATGGATGTGATTTTCCGGGCTGAGGCGTCTGTCCGGACCAGATTGTTTTCTTTGGGCCTCATCATTGTTGTCCGAGGTGTTTTAGCAGTGCTGAGGTCTGGAGTGTTGTCGCCTGTTGTTGTTGGTGTTGTTGATGGGGGCTGGGTCGGCTTCATTGGTGTCGCGAATGGGACTTTTGGGTTTGACAGCAGTGACTGCGTCATGAATGATCTACTAGTGTCGACCTTGCTAAGGCCGCTGCGTATCTCATCGCAGACAGTGGCAATGATTTCGTCTTCGTTGAGAAAATGAACCTCTCTTTTAGTCGGGTGTACATTGACATCGACTCGTTGCGGTTCAATCTCCAAGCTAAGGTAGAAGAACGGGTGTCCCCCCTTGGGCAGGAACATGGCATAAGTCTGCTCCACACTCTTCTTGATCGCCGGCGACTCAACTGATCGATGATTGATGAAGAGCAGCATATGCGTCCGTTTCGCGCTGTAATTCGCATTGCTGACCCATCCCCTGCACTTGAACCCCCACTGCTTATCCTCCACTTCCAACTCCACCAATTCATTCGCCGCCGCCGTCCCATGAATCTGCCGTATCCGATCCCTGGTCGTTGCCGTAGCAGCCACCGCAACACTGCTCCCCGTATTCTCCCCCGCCTTCTTGCACGAAAACGCCACACCCTGGCAATGCACCGCATACCTGCCCACCAAATCCAGAATCTTCGCATACTCCTCGCTCGCCGAGCGAAAAGCCCGGCGTCGCGAGGGTACATTGTAAAACAAGTCTTCGACCGTAATCTGCGTGCCCATGCGTCCAGCCTTGGGCTTCGGCTCCACACTGCCCCCGGGCTTCGCACTCGTCAACTTGCCACCCGCATACATGGCTTCCCACGCACAACTCGACTCCTTGGTGCGCGTCGTGACCTTCAAATGCGCAATATGGCTGATACTCGCCAGCGCCTCGCCACGAAATCCATACGTGCCAATGCTGGTCAGATCCTCAAACTGCTTCAGCTTGCTCGTGGTGAAGCGTTCACACAGGATGGGCAAGTCTTCCTTGTCGATGCCGTGGCCGTTGTCGGTGATTTGCAGTAGTTTGAGGCCCCCGTCTTTGACGAGGACTTCGATAGAGGTAGAACCGGCGTCTACAGCGTTTTCAATGAGTTCTTTGAGGGCGTGCACGGGAGCAACGATGATTTCGCCCGCCGCAATTTTGTTCACGACGTCTTGGGAGAGGGGCTTGATGCGGCGGGGGGCGGGCAGAGGGAGGGTGTCGTCGCCTTTTCGCTTAAGACCGCGTGGTGACGGCGGTGCGATTTCCATATCTTCAGCCATTTCCGATGGTAGTGGGAACTGACATGGAGGGGGTGGGGGTTTGTTGAATGTAGTGTTGAAGTCTGCTTGAACGGCGCGCATTGGCCAGTGCGATGACGCGACTGCACAACGCGATATCATGTGACATTCAACCACTTCAACTGTACACTACACCAAAAGTAGTCAGTAGTCATACTACTCGATGACGTTTTTACAAATCATTCTCCCTACTTCTCTTCAAATAAGCAGACCAGACAGCCACATCATGCACAACAAGGAAACCTCAAAAATTGCACTGCTAAGCCATTTCCCACGCCATACCTCACTCTGGCACCAAAGATGCAAGCCATACCACCCAATGACCGCGACTAAGCTTGGAACCCTCACCACGAAACCATAGACCACAATTCCAACATCCAGCCAAACCAGCCCTTCCTAAACACCACAACCGTCAAAATAAGTTTTCAAGATTTTCGCATGGGTATCATTAAACTCTCCGCACCAACTACCGCACCAACGCAACCGCGCACAAAAACATCCTATCCGCATAGCCCATGAACCGCGTGCCAGAAGCAGAAAGATGCGCTCAGTTGAAAATGTTCCCGAACCATGCGACCCATACATACAATCGTCGTCGCGCCCATGAAAATAGACGCCCATATATACTACCAGCGCTCTAATGGAATCCCGCTGGAGTATGCGTCTCGACACCTGGACGCTGTAGAATAGGCTGAGAGAGAAGGGGAGGGGTGGTATAGATGGCCATCTATTGCCTACTCCTAATGAATGCGGGGTCGAAGCCATAAAGTGAGCGTCCTTGCTGCGGTGACGATTAGCACAGTTGAATACGTGTGTATATCTCTACATAGGAGGGAAAGGTAGACTTACGCGGTTCAAGACGAAGATGACATCGGTGACTGTGATTGTGCTTCGGCCGCTCGACTCGACAACCGCAATTGCATCTTTGAGGATCTGAGATGGGAGGTTAGTATAGCCCTATGGTGAGGGTATGGGGCTGGACGTCTTACAGATGTGAGGCGGTCTTTGAGTGCACCGCGAATGTCGTCGTAGACTAGGCCGGAGATGCGCTTAACGCCCCCGCGACGAGCGAGACGTCTACGACTAGGATTAGCACGGCAGTTTGGTATGCAAGGAGGGAGGGAAATTCATGCAAGGAAAATCTTCTTCATCCAAGTATGCAAGGAGTCCTGATTCCGCATGTCTAGTAGACAAAGAAAGACAGTAACATACCTGATATCCCCCTTTGAAACCCCATAAATCGTATCCTTTTGTACTTTTCGAAATCTCTTTCCGCCTTTTCCCAAGCCCGATCCTCCGAATCCCGACCCTCTCGTCCCCCCTCCTAACCCCAACCCTCCTCTTAACCCTCCTCTTAACCCTCCTCGTAACCCTCCTCTTAACCATCCCCCTCCGCCTCCCCCCCTCCTCACCAGCCCCAGCCCAAGCTGCTGCGCCCGCGCCGCCCCCTCAGGCGCCCCAGAACTGGCCGCACGCATCGCTGCATCAGCCCGCCCCGTCGCATGTGCAGTCGAGGCCGTACTGGCAAACGACAGGGGATCGCGATGCCGTACCATTTGTGCGCGAGAGATGAACGCAGAAGATGAATGCGCGAGTGTATATTGTGTACTTGGTACGCTGGCGCGCTTGTTTACCTACACGACCGTGTGTGTGGTGGTATAAATACGTACGGTTCCGGTAGGTACCGGTACTGTCCAAGACGCGGCACCGTGCCGTACCGTACCTGATGCGCTCTTGCAAAAACGCTGAAAAAAGGGATGTGGTGGGTAGGTGGTGAAGTACCGTAAGGTTTGTGTGTTTGCTGGTGTACCGGGTAGTCGGAGATGGAGTAGTGAGGGCGCAGACGCGTCGGGGCGCGAGTGTGGGGGATGGCGCGAACGCGGTGTCAGGTGAGGTGAGTGCAGATGGGAAAGTGCGGTCAAGGTGGGATGTGGACATGGATAAAAGGATCAAGGGTCCGTGCATAATTTACAAGTATACGGCTAACTCATGCGCTTGGGTAGTTTGAGTATCATGTGATTTGCCACTGCTACTTCCCGGCTATTTTGATGGCACAAGACAAGTAACGTGATCCTCAAACTAGCCGAGATAACTAGTACACTACGCATGCATTCAGACAATCAACTGTCAACATCACCTGCCTAGAGTCAGCAGAGGACATCTAGACTGTGATATCAGCAATCCCTGATTTCAACCCCAAAATACCACCTGGACAAGACCGACTATTTCTTCCCACCGCGAAAGCCCAACTATCCTTCCTCTTGGACGAACAATCCCATATTTGTACCCTCAAAATTCAAGTATCCAGCTAGCACGATTGTCAGCTAAACACATCATTTGTTCCACCGACGCTACAGTCTTAGACTTAGCTGCGAGTGGGTAGCGTATCTAATGCATGGAGCATGGTAAGTGTGCCAAGACAATGCGACGTGGGTGTGATACGATTGCAATCGCGGTTAGGTTTTGCAAGAGCTGTTAGTACATAGTAGTAGGATAGGAAAAGGTATGTGTAGTAGACTCAAGCATGAGCAGCAAAGGCAACGGTGTATTCATTACGTCTCAGGTGCCAGTCCCGAGAAGTCGGTTCATTATAGCTAGGGTATCTGTGATGTTTGTAGTTGTGGCGTTTGTATCCAAATTACCCCAACGCATTATTGATTCTCTAGGAGACAAAGGTAGCCTCGGTGAAGAGCAGGCCCTCCTCTTCCTTGACCTCGTCGCCCACCTTGATCTTGATGGTGAGCTTGGGCGCATATTGGTAGATGTACGGCTTGGTGCCTGCTGCACTGGCGGCAATGGCCTTGATGAAGCCAGGCACTTCGGCCATGACGTCGACGCGGTCATAAATCTTGCCTAGAGCCCCTTCAAGATCTGCCGTCACCTCCTTGCCGTCTGCCGTCTTGCCCTGCCAGTGGTAAGCCGCCGCGGTTGGCTCTGGCCAGTGGGTGTCTGGATCTTCCTTGGTTGCGGTGTGCCTGACATCGCAATCTGTGTTGGCCACAATCAACTTGTCGTCACTGGCGATACCGGCGACGCGGACGACGGTGTTTGCGTACGATGGGGGTGTGGTGAATTCCATGATGATGGCCGAGTACGAGGGGGACTGAAAGCACACAAAGTTCCATCGAGCAGCTGTGCAATGTCAGTAGAGAAGGACATGGGTGGCGGTGCAGCTAACGTACCGGCATGGTGTGGCTTCATGCCCTGCAAAGCGTGGCTCAGCATCCCGCGGCCCTTCATGTTGACCTCGCCCTCCTTGGTGATGATGGAACCCTCGACGCTGCATCGCGGCCAGAAGTGGTGGTGCATGGAGCCCCATGGCGCCTTGGGGTCTGTGCCATAGTTGGTTGTGCCATCCTTTCCACCCATATAGCCCGGGGCCGTCCTGGTGAACTTGACGTTGACCAGGCTCTTGTCGTTCACGGCTGCCTTGATCGTGTAGGCCGTGCCATCCGGGGAGAGTTCGATGGAGACCCCATCGGCGAAGAAGGAATGCTGCTCCTCGTCGAATCCGTAGTTGGAAACGGGGTCGCTAACCCACAGGAAGGGCTTCTCGTTGTTGGGGTAGAAGAGCTTGACGTTGAACTGCACGGTGACACGCAGGCCACTGGCTGGTGTAAGCGTCTTGCGGACTGACAGGTGAGGTTGGCTAAGGGAGGAACGTACGCTATGTTGTTGTAGATGACCTGCAAGAAGCAGACATGTCCCTCCTCGGTGAAGGCGTAGAAGGTCTGCGTCTCGACATTGGTGTAGTCCAGGGTCGCCCACTTGAGATCCTTCTTGGTCAATTCGGTGTAGGCTGGCTCGCCCGCCTTCTTTCCGACGGGCTGAATGGCCTCTGGGCCGTACTCGGGCTCCTGGGTGCCGGCAACCGCGGCCAACCTAGCGAGACAGTGAGTATACGGCCCTCCCTCCCACGGCAGACACAAACATGCAGAGGCGCGTCTCGGTCGCGCAGGCACGTGAGAGGTGGGACTCACGTTGATTTGGCCCAGCTGAACATTTTGGGCTTGCGGGTGGAGCGTCGCACTAGCAAGAAGAAAAAAAGGATGGGTGAGCAAAGGCGGTCAAGCGGGGCTGATTGGAGAAGGGCAGGCGATTCTTGACAGACTCTGGTTCAACAGCGTTGGAGAATTTGCGGCGACAAGGACACACGGCCGGGAAGGAAAGGAGGGCAGCGAGGGGAGGGCGGCAGAGTCGGGAAGGCGGATGCAGGGACCGTGTGTGGTGGGATGGACGGCTTGGAATAGGCGGCGTGCAGAGAAGGTTACTGTATGTGTCGTGAATATCGTGGGGGGGTGCCACAAAAGGGGAGAGCTGATTAAGAGAGAGAGAGAGAGAGAGAGAGAGAGAGAGAGAGGACTGGTCGGGCTGTTGGTGTGGTTGGGGTGTGTGTGTGTGTGTGTACTTTGTGTACTGTATGTATAGGAGGTAATGTATGTACGTTAGGCTGATGGAGGGGAGGAGGGGAAGAGGGTGGCCTCCTGTTGCGGCGGCCTGTGGGGGGGGGGGGAAGAGAGAGAGGGCACTTGTGAAGCGGTGCAGGTGAAGGACGAATCAGAGCAAAGGGGCTGCTTTGAGTAATTGAACGTGTGCGTTCCATCCGGCGGAAGGCGGCAGTCAGGCAGAGTAGATGGTGTAAATAAGCAGTCAGCAGTCCAGTCAGTTCATGGTATGCATGTCCTCTACCTGGTTGGTTAGCATGTACTCTACTCCTAGGTAGTCCATCGGAGAGACATGGGACGCAGTCTAGCCCTCGAGGAGATGTGCAATAGCATGTGCAGTATGTGCGAAGTATGTACAGCCCATTGCTTGCTTGCTTGGTTCATGTTTTTTTCCTCCTTTCTTTCTTTTCTAGAGGGTTACCTAGGTAGGCACCGGTACATGCCCATCTCCACCCGCTCCCCTACTGCTAAGGAAATCGGCACTGTCTTTTTGCACCTTTTTGCCTTCTGTGCGTCGTTGTCGTCGTCTGTGCATGATCTTTGCCATCCGTCTTCTTCTCTCCCTTCCCCTTCTTCTCCATACCTGATTGTGCCATCTCTGCCACATTTGCCCATCCTTCACGTCTTTCCCATCTTTTTCTGGCGCGCGCTGGCTGCTTACCTACGCGACCTAGGCTCAAGTCGGCCTCGCCTACTCTCTTTTTCCGGTCATTTCCGCGCGTTTTCGGCCTTTCCTTTGCGCGACAGACGACAGACAGAACTAGCGCGGGGGAAAGCATATGACGACTTCTTACTACTCTACTAGCCACTGGCTTTGTACCCACCACTGAACCCCCTCTTCCCACCCCCCTCCCTCTCCAGCCCTCCAAGCAACTCGCAGTAACACCACATCACCTCACATTCGCTAACCCGTCGTCTCGCTCTCCTCTCTCCCTCCTCCGCCGGCGCCTCCGCACTGCTTTCATTGGGCTCCAGTGTGCAGTGAAGCCGACCGGACAAGAGAACAAGAAGGGTAGAGCACCTCTCTCTCTCTCTCTCTCTCTCTCTCTATCTTTCTGGTGCACGCTCGGGTAGCCAATTGCGCCGATCCCGCGCGACCCCTCGACTAGGTAAGCTACCATCACGAGTGGGCCAAGTACTCTCTGCTCCTGCTAGACCCGAGTATGTTGGCGCTTTCGTCATGGCCCAAGTAGCTAACTGGTCCTAGCAGCCCTTCACTCTCCCCCTCTCCCCAGCACGCCGCCCGCCATCATTACCACCACCACCGCCGCCATGACCACCCACGAACAGCCCCCCTCGGTGCGCTTCAGCGATGTCAACCAAGAAATTGAGCCCACCGAGGCTGTCCAGACCCTGACCGACCTCACCGGCACCGACGCCGACTCCCACGATGTCCCAATGAGCCCCCAGGCCGCCGAGGAACTTCGCAATCTGTCATCCACATTGCAAAATGGTCGCTGCCAGGCCAAACGAATGGAGCACTTTTCCTTTGAGCCCGTCTCCCTGCCGCCGTCGCGCGTAAGTCAAGTCATCTCTCCTCCACGTTCGAGAGCGAAGCCTCTGACTAACTTGTATTCCCAGACTGCTTCACCGACGCCCCCCTCGCGCACACAGTCAGGCAACTCTGTGCGTCATCCATCTATTGGCACACTCTCCTCACAGACTCCTCTCGCCATGCATTCTCCTCCGCTGACCCCAGCGGGCACATCCTCGAGAGAAGAGCGGCCCAGCGTGTCGGATCATAGGAAGCAATTGAGCGACCCAGCCATGATAACGCCGCAAATCTCACCCCCGCACGAGCCTCCCCCGACTTCATTGCAATCCTCTGTCCGCAACGCCGACCAACTCTCGATTCCAGGATCCCCAAGGACGGCACCACAGTCACCTCGGCCCTCATCAGAGGTTCCCACCGTATTCCAGCCCCATCCCAAGCGCGGCCCCACTTTTACAGTTGGCCCCTCCGGTGATTCTCTCCCGGCTTCCCGCGATGCTAGTCCCTCCGGATCAGGCGGAGAACGGACCCCTGGAACTTCGACCCCGGCCTCCGGTGGCCGCCCGTATACACCCCAAAGCGAGAGGGAAGACACCTACGCCCGCTCCAAGCGTGCTGCACAGTCACGGAACCTCGAGTCGCTTGAAGCCCGCTTCATCTATGGCGGCCGCGAGGGCCGCTCAGCAGCAGGTTCCACATACACGTTGCCTCGCTCCAGAGATACCGACTCGGACAAGGAAGAGAGCAAGAGATCGAGCATCTTTGGGGGTTCAAAGAAGTCGCATCGTCAGGGCACCGATGATTCGGCCACATCGACCAAGCACCACCACCATGGGTCCATGTCTGAGCTGAAGCGGTTCTTTAGGATTGGACACAAGAAGGACAAGGACAAGGAAAAGCGCAAGCAATCACCAGCGCCCTCTGTCAAGGAAAAGAGGAACAGGTGCAGCAAAATTGGAACAATGACTCCTCCGTTGACGAATGGCACGATGAGTGTGCCATTTGCAGATGATCACGGACTCCAAAGTAAATACGGGAAATTTGGCAAGGTGCTCGGCTCCGGCGCCGGTGGCTCAGTTCGTCTTATGAAGCGAAGTAGCGATGGCGTTACTTTCGCCGTCAAGCAATTCCGGCCCAGGCATTCGTATGAGTCGGAACGAGATTACAACAAAAAGGTCACGGCCGAGTTTTGCATAGGTTCAACGCTGCACCATGGCAACATCATCGAAACAATGGACTTGGTCAATGAGAAGGGCAGCTACTACGTCGTCATGGAATATGCGCCATACGATCTGTTTGCCATTGTCATGACTGGGAAGATGAGCCGAGAAGAGGTTGCGTGTAGCACGCTACAGATTCTGAACGGAGTGACCTATCTCCACAGCATGGGTCTTGCGCACCGGGATCTCAAGTTGGACAATGTTGTCGTCAACGAGCACGGGATTATGAAGATTATTGATTTCGGTAGTGCCGCAGTCTTCAAATATCCATTCGAGGACGAGATCGTTCTCGCCAGTGGTAAGTTCAATGACATCAGGATGGAGAGGGGAGACTAACAGCTGCAGGCATTGTCGGCTCAGATCCTTACTTGGCCCCCGAAGTCTACGACCTCTCCAAATACGACCCTCAACCCACCGACATCTGGTCACTTGCCATTATATTCTGCTGCATGACTTTGCGAAGATTTCCGTGGAAAGCACCCCGAGTGTCCGACAACTCATACAAGCTTTTTGTCTCTCCACCAAACGATGGACCAAGATCCGTCACAGGGCCCTCCAAGTCTGTATCCGATCTCGCACACGCATCAGGTGACGACCGCCGGAGTGGCACACATTCAGAGCCTGTATCTCGCCACGCAAGTTCGGAGCAGCCTACACACCATGAGCACAAGTCTTCCGCACCTGCCGCTAGCAGTCAACAGCCCTCCCAGGTGATCAAGGGCCCATGGCGACTTCTCCGTCTACTTCCCAGAGAAAGCAGGCACATCATTGGCAGAATGCTGGAAATCGACCCCAAGAAGCGTGCTACGCTCGACGAGATTATTGGAGACAAGTGGGTGACTAGCACCCAGGTATGCACACAAGAGGAGGGTGGCCGGATCGTCCGCTGCGACAACCACGAGCACACCCTCGAACCTGGCGCGGGCGTCGGATCCGCTCCTCCCGCACAGCAGAAGAAATGAACTTGACGTCAGTGTCTCTCTGTCCATCTTACGAACGCGATTTGGGTAAGACTGCTTCGCCAACTTTGTCCGCATTTCTTTTCCTTGTTGGAGTCTTCTGATAGCAAGCCGGCTTTTTTTTTTGAAACTCCGCTCTAGGGACGCATTCTATCATGGCCAAGGGATGGATGAATAGATTTTTTTTTTCACGTCGACCCGTTCAGCCCTCGCCGTATTTATTTACTTTCTACTTTCTTATCACGATAGGATGTGTACCAGTGCACTGTCATTCTTCTTTGAGTGCCGCTTCTTGTAATGTAGTTGAGATTATTTCTTCGCTTGGAGGGTTGTCGATTTTGGAGGCTTTTTTTCTTCTTTCTCCCCACGGCGGGACTAGGATGGATGGGTTGGATTATGCGCGGAGTGTGACATTTATATGGAAGAGAACTAAGGAAGCGCACAGTGA